AACAGACGAAAACCAGAACCTCCCCGACCGGAGGCACAAAGCACACGAAATGAGGACACATCAAACACAACACCCAACCAACACTGCACTCACAACCCTCTGTCCCCTGGCCGCACCCAGCCCCCCCCACCCCCCCACGATCTCCCAAGGCAAAACTGCCCATACCTCGTAATGACACAAACAGGGTGAGAAATACACCACCCCAATGCTAACCCAAGTCACACACACTTCTAAACCCGACACCTGAAGAAGGAAAAGAAAGCGGGCAAAATAATGCAGAACCATGGGTCACACCTCGAAATTACTACAAATGTATGTAACATGTGAACCACTGACGAATACAAAGCATGTAAATGTCAAATGTCAAATATCTGAAAATTGCATGTACTGATCTTCACCACCACCTACCCTTCCCCCTCCCCCTTCTTTTTTCTGTACCCCCTTCCACCCCCTCTACCGATATTGAAGAAAACAATAAAAATTGTCAGATTTAAAAAAATTAATGGAAGAAATTACACTAGCGAAGCAAGGGAAAAAGCGACATATATGTGTATATATATAATCTAAGTATATATATACACATATACATACACACACATACACTGTCTAGGTGTATTTTACTATTAATATATAATATCAAATTACACGTAGACTGATATTGATTAAATATATATATAATTATTGTTATATATATTTATATATAATATAAAAAAAATTAAATATGTAAATACGTTAAAAAATAAACCTAAAAAAAAATTAAAAAATATATAGATGTGTGTTATTTCGTTCTAACTGTATTGTGATATTAATATATATATTTATATCAAAATACACGTAGAACGAAATAATATATATATCTATATACATAAATATATACGTATATATCACTATATATATACCTGTATATAAATAAAAATATTTTAAAACAATTATATATATATGCACATATATATTCACATACGTATATATATATACATATATTAATTCTACATATATATTTATGTAATATTTTTACAAAATTAGGTATCTTAATTAATTACAATTAGCGGGACCTGCCTGACAACCCATGCCAAAAGTAAAGGGAATTTAATTTGCTAGCACTATATTTAACCCTATAACTTTCCAAGACACCAAAAAACCTGTACATGGGGGGTACTGTTCTACTCGGGAGACTTCGCTGAACACAAATATTAGTGTTTCAAAACAGTAAAATGTATTATAACGATGATATCGCCAGTAAAAGTGATGTTTTTTGCATTTTTCATGCACAAACAGCACTTACACGGACGATATTATTGCTGTGATACTTTTTACTGTTTTGAAACACAAATATTTGTGTTCAGCGAAGTCTCCCGAGTACAACAGTACCCCTCATGTACAGGTTTTATGGTGTTTTCAAAAGTTACAGCGTCAGATATAAGGCTTGCGTTTCATTTTTTTCCCATTAAAATTTGCCAGATTGGTTACGGTGCCTTTGAGACCCTATGGTAGCCAGAGAATGAAAATTACCCCTATGATGGCATACCATTTGCAATAGTAGACAACCCAAGGTATTGCAAACAGGGTATGTCCAGTCTTTTTTAGTAGCCACTTAGTCACAAACACTGGCCAAAATTGGCGTTTTTTTCATTTTTCACACACAAACAAATACTAACGCTAACTTTGGCCAGTGTTTGTGACCAAATGGCTACTAAAAAAGACTGGACATACCCCATTTGCAATACCTTGGGTTGTCTACTATTGCAAATGCTATGCCATTATGGGTGTAAATTTCATTCCTGGACTACTACAGTTTCAAAGGCAACGTAACCAATCTGGCTAATTTCAATTTCAAATGTAACGTGCTATATTTGACCCTGTAACTTCCCAAAACGCCATAAAACCTGTACATAGGGGGTACTGTTTTACACGTGAGACTTTGCTGAATACAAATATGTGTATTTTATTGCAGTAAAAGCAAACAGTATTATGACATTGACAGTTAAAATGTCATGTAGAACTAAAAAAAATTAAAAAATCGTATTTTCTCCCATTTTTTTCATATTAAATTATGTTTCATAGCTAAATATTTGATATTAAATGAAAGCCCTGTTTCCCCGGAATAAAATGATATATAATAAGGGTGGGTGCATTTACTATGAAAGAGGTGAATTACGGTTGGACAGACATGTAGTGCAAATTCCAAGTTTTGTTTACATTTTGTTTCGTTCACAACGTGTACATTTGGCTCCGTCCTTAAGGGGTTAAGTACAGAATTATGTGCTGATAAAGATTTGGAATAACAAACAGTATTTCATACTACTTGACTTTTCCCTTCCTCCCTCTTCCCTTTTTTTATATTTCTTGTTTCAGTGGTTATTACTTTGTCTGTCTTTTATACTACATATTTTATTGACTCTTTATTTGAACTTCCTGTTCAAAAAAAATCAATAAAAGTTGTTTGAAGTTAGAAGAATCCAGATGATTACCAACGTGTCGAGAAGAGATGCTGTACATTATTATCTGATAACTCATCAAAATGTCTGTGTTTTCATAACATCGATAGCATTGCTAATTTGGCGATTTAACTCTGTCAATGCCAGAGCGGTGGGCAACTGTTGTTTGAAGTTAGTCTGCAGAGTCCCTCTGTGCTTTGTAGATTGCGATTAACTTTGCAAACCTTATTGCTGCCCACATTAGTTGATAAGGGAATAAAAGAGAGGCCTTAGCCAAATGCAAATCTAGATCTACATTAGCTGATCTATCAATCACTAGAGATCGATCAATTTCCAATTACGGATTCCTGCGGCAGTTATATGCTTCATTGCATTGGTTTTTATATTGGACAAATAGCCTGCCAAACAGACTCAAATCATTCAAATATTCTCACCTTGGCTGGCTGACCTTCCCCTATCAATAAACAAAAGGACAGAATCTAAACTACTCCCAAATACTAGAACAAAAAGTGTAGTTTGTGCTGTGGCATAGCTTCTAGAGATAACTAACCTTAATGTTTGTGTATTGAATTATCTCTGATTCTCAACCAACATTGCGTTCTGGAAGATTTGATCAGGATTATTTTTTAAATTTTTTTTTTGTATATGTGCGACTTCCTAAGGAATTCTTTAAAACTATTCCTTTAATTATTTAGTCGCCTTAGGATTCCTTCCAGATTTGCCATTTAAAAATACTTTTTTTTATTTATACCAGCACCATGTACTGGAAAATTAATCATTCAATAGAACTGTTTTTGAGAGAGAAATTGTCTTACCTCTTCCGAACATACCAGTTCTGGTATTTTTCCATGATTTGTGGCCTTACCATATCAAATATTCTTCATATGCCTTCCATTGTTGATGTGGCGAAAGAACGTGCGCTTGTGTTTTGGACGGGGTTATTGGTGGTTCCAAGATGTAACAGTTTATTTTTTTTATTATTATTATTATATTTACATTAATGAAACAGATTTACTACACTATAAACATCCTGTGACTTTAAGCAATGTAACTGTTCTGGTATAGGGAATTGCTAGAAAGGTATCCCATTGCTGTCCCATGTTGGATGGAAAACGTTCTAGCTTTCTCCAATACCAGGTGTGAAAGGGTCTTTTAATAATAGATCAATATTCTGTAGCTCCCCTGTACTAAGAAAGAGAGGTTCTAACTTCCACCTATACAGTGAGAGAAGGTTTGTGACACTCTCGTATAATATGAGAGAAATGTTCTAACTCTCCTCCATACAGAGAAAAAAACAGTTTCTGGCAGCCAACTATACTACAAGGACAGAAATGTTCTGGTACTCCTCTATACTAGGAGAGAGAGGTTCTGGCACTCAACTATACTAGGAGAGAGATGCTAGCCACCACTATACTAGGAGAGAGATGCTAGCCACCACTATACTAGGAGAGAGATGCTAGCAACCACTATACTAGGAGAGAGATGCTAGCAACCACTATACTAGGAGAGAGATGCCAGCAACCACTATACTAGGAGAGAGATGCTAGCAACCACTATACTAGGAGAGAGAGGCTAGCAACCACTATACTAGGAGAGAGATGCTAGCAACCACTATACTAGGAGAGAGATGCTAGCAACCACTATACTAGGAGAGAGATGCTAGCAACCACTATACTAGGAGAGAGAGGCTAGCAACCACTATACTAGGAGAGAGATGCTAGCCACCACTATACTAGGAGAGAGATGCTAGCAACCACTATACTAGGAGAGAGATGCTAGCAACCACTATACTAGGAGAGAGATGCTAGCAACCACTATACTAGGAGAGAGATGCTAGCAACCACTATACTAGGAGAGAGAGGCTAGCAACCACTATACTAGGAGAGAGATGCTAGCCACCACTATACTAGGAGAGAGATGCTAGCAACCACTATACTAGGAGAGAGAGGCTAGCAACCACTGTACTAGGAGAGAGAGGCTAGCAACCACTGTACTAGGAGAGAGAGGCTAGCAACCACTGTACTAGGAGAGAGATGACAGCAACCACTATACTAGGAGAGAGATGCTAGCAACCACTATACTAGGAGAGAGATGCTAGCCACCACTATACTAGGAGAGAGAGGCTAGCAACCACTATACTAGGAGAGAGAGATGCTAGCCACCACTATACTAGGAGAGAGATGCTAGCCACCACTATACTAGGAGAGAGATGACAGCAACCACTATACTAGGAGAGAGATGACAGCAACCACTATACTAGGAGAGAGATGCTAGCAACCACTATACTAGGAGAGAGATGACAGCAACCACTATACTAGGAGAGAGATGCTAGCAACCACTATACTAGGAGAGAGATGCTAGCCACCACTATACTAGGAGAGAGATGACAGCAACCACTATACTAGGAGAGAGATGCTAGCAACCACTATACTAGGAGAGAGATGCTAGCAACCACTATACTAGGAGAGAGATGACAGCAACCACTATACTAGGAGAGAGATGCTAGCAACCACTATACTAGGAGAGAGATGCTAGCCACCACTATACTAGGAGAGAGATGCTAGCCACCACTATACTAGGAGAGAGAGGCTAGCCACCACTATACTAGGAGAGAGAGGCTAGCCACCACTATACTAGGAGAGAGATGCTAGCAACCACTATACTAGGAGAGAGAGGCTAGCAACCACTATACTAGGAGAGAGATGCTAGCAACCACTATACTAGGAGAGAGATGCTAGCAACCACTATACTAGGAGAGAGAGGCTAGCAACCACTATACTAGGAGAGAGATGCCAGCAACCACTATACTAGGAGAGAGATGCCAGCAACCACTATACTAGGAGAGAAATGACAGCAACCACTATACTAGGAGAGAGATGCCAGCAACCACTATACTAGGAGAGAGATGCCAGCAACCACTATACTAGGAGAGAAAGGTTCTAGCTCCCCCTTACACAGAGAAGATTTTTTGACACTCCCCTATACTATGAGAGGAATGTTCTAACTCTCCACTATACAGAGAGAAAAACAGTTTCTGGCAGCCAACTATACTACAAGTACAAAGAAATAAGTCTCTAATGAGACAGAAAGGGGTATTTTTTTATATACACCCCTATTAACTCTTAATAGGGAACACAAGGTATCCTGTCTTACTGTTGTAAAGAAGTCCCTGAGGAAGTCCCTGATTGGGAGGAAATGCGTTGGACAGATTGTGGACAGATTTTATTTGTGTTTTATGATGATTGATCCTTACCTGTGTGTAAGTAATACATTATTTTTATACTTTATCTACACTTTATCATATCTCATCTTGGATACATTTTATTTTACATACTGCTGAGATCTGCAAGATCAACCATTGAAAGCAAGAAACTGCCTGAGTTCTCCATTGATTACTACATGCCCTGCTTTATCAGTTAAAGTGTGAGTGACCACTTGGCACAAAAAGACATTTCTTTAGTGTTATATAGAATTGCACTATGTTCTTTTTTTGTTTCCCTATAGTTGGATAAACCATATTGTTTTTTGCCTATATATGTGTGGAAGATTTGAGGAGATCTTCGGGTTAAAAATCCATAACTAAAAGGGAAGTTCTTTTATATATAAACTTTTGTTCTACTAAACACCCTAATATTCACTTAAGCACTACATAGTGATATTGGTGAAAATTCACCACTATAATAATATTTCTCTGTGATATAGTGAAAGATTTTGTACCACTCCTCTATACTAGGACAGAAATGTTCTAGCACTTCTCTATACTATGAGAAAAAGGTTCTAGCTCCCCCTTACACAGAGACTTTTTTTACACTCTCCAATACTATGAGAGAAATGTTCTAGCTCTCCTCTATACAGAGAGAAAACCAGTTTCTGGCAATCAACTATACAAGGAAAATAATGTTTTGGCACTCCTTTATACTAGCAGTGAAATGTATGCTAGAAGAGAGGTTCTAGCAACCACTATACTAGGAGAACAATGTTCCAGCAACCTCTATACTAGGAGAACAATGTTCTAGCAACCACTGTACTAGGAGAACAATGTTCTAGCACTCCATTATACTTAAAGAGAAAGGTTCTAACACTTCTCTATACTAGAAAAGAAAGGCCTGGTGCTACTCTTTACTACTCGGAGTATTGCAGAATCTATACTTGAAGAGAAAGGTTCTAGAACTCCTTTATAACAGTAGAAAATGTTCTGGCACTCAACTATACCAGGAGAGAAATGTTCTAGCAAACACTATACTAGGAGAGAAAGGTTTCAACAGTCTCTGCTAATAGAAGGGGAAAGTTTGGGTACCCCATATACTAAGAAGGAAAGGTTTTTTACTCTGGTGTACTAGGAGTAACACCATTGATGTTCTCCTATACTTGTTTCTCTCTTTTCAAATGTCGTCAATGTCTATTAAGGTTGTGCTGAAAAGCAGTTTTAGAAAAAACATTTACTTTATTTAAAGAAGAAATAATGGCTGTGTATATATTTATTTTAGGAAGCCCAATGACACATTTTTGATGTAGAAACAAAAAAAGAAATGTACCTGAGAAACATGTTCTATTCTCTCATTTCTTCATTTGTTGATTTTTTTTTGGCAAGCTCCAATTATTGCCAACACCTAATCATTTCTCTAAGTGCATGCGTCTATTCTGATTTCCAAGAATAGGTTTCAGTAATTAAGAGCAAGCTGTACTCCTTGCTAATTGGAATTAATATTCTCTCCCGTGATGCTCTACAGCATGGAATCCCAAGTAAAATCCCAAGAAGTATGGCTTCTTGTTAAAGTTCTATACACACACCCCTTCTCTTCTCCTCCCCCAAAATAATTTTTTGGTTTAGAGCAGGTTGTGCATGTGTCGCATACGGACATTTGCAGACAGAACAGATTTCTTATCACAGAGTAACAAATGGCTTCTAATACTACAATAGCGCTTATTAAAAATTATAGATGGCTCTCATTATATATACAAGTCCTTCGAAAGAATAACATGTATTTGGCAGTCGGAAAGGTTTTGTCAATACGAGATTTGGTTATAGATTCACATTTTGCAAACCATCGTCTTGTTTTTTTTTCTGTTTTTTTTTTTTTCATTCCCCTCTTTAATATATGTACTGATCCGCAAAGGGCATCTTTTGGAAATGAGGCTTCAGACTGGCATGGGTTGGACCATTGCCAAGACAACTAAGAATTGGGATGGTTGCCATGCTGGGAACGAGAAATAGACGGAGAAGAGGAAAGGGGGGAGGCAAGACTTGGCACAGCTCAGTCAAATCACTTTCTTTTGTCTGTTTTCTCGGCTTGAGGTTTAGGAAAGAAAACCTATTTTGGACTGAACGGAACACATAAACTTTTTTTTTTTTTAATTTTCAAACTTGGATTGCTTTTCAAATCACTTGGTCATTTGCAAATAATGTTAAATTCAGTAACACTGGTTTAGCGAAGTTTATTAACTCATTCTAAATTGCCTTTGCCATTCATCCTATGCACACAGGTAAACAAACCTAAGACTTTTTTTTTAGGCGGGTTGCATCAATTTTTGCTAATATAAATTCATAGCAGACCACCGCATTGGACATATTTTTTTGTTTCCTTTAGTTAATTATTTTTTATTATTTTTAAAAATTTTGATTTTTAATTTTTTTTTTTATTTTGCATTTTTTTTAAATCCCGGATTGTGTTCCTTATTCGGAATGGGAAAAAAGTTTGAATCATGATGTTCGCACGTGTCATTAAGTAACTTTAAGGAAGAATTTATTATTAACTGATCAAGAAAGAAAATGAAGAAGATAGAAAGTTGAGCTTCTAAGTCTGGATTTGGAAGCAACAAATAACAAATTCCGAATCCAATGAGAAGACTGAAACTACAGGAAAATAAACAAAAAATGTGCATGCCTTTTTTGGTCTTAAATGTGTTTGTAAGATCAGAATATTGATTACTAAGTAGCAAATACATCCTTATAATGTTCAGATGGGACAAAAAATTAGTCAAAGGCTTACAGTAGACGTATATACCAAAATGTAAAGTAAAAATGTGTAATTATTTATAGATCCATATGGAATTGTGAATATATGTAGCATAGATTATGTTTGGTTCCCAAAAAAAAAAGCAAAACATATCTTGATAAAAATAAATATTTGAAGAATAATAATGTTCATATATTAATAGCCATATCTTAATCTTAAATATGAAAAAAATAACCAAATCAAATAATCACTGTGAAAGTTAAAAAAAATATACATCTGTATCTTACTTATTTTTAATAATAATTGAACAAATATATCAGTTTATTTGTATGTCTGATTTTATTTAAAAGTGAATTTAAAAAAAGAAATCTGATTACTGGTTATTCTGAAAAAAAGAACATATTTTTATATATTTAGGAGAGTGTTTAGCTTATTTTCAGTAAATAGACGTTGTGGGGGGTGAGTGTCTGTCATTTCAGACGATAGACACACGTCTCTTACCAGCAAACACCTAATCTTTTGTTTGGTTGCAAACGCTTTTGTTTTACATGCCAAGAGCTAAATAACTATATGAAGAGAACCGTGATATTTTAGGACCTTTTCCGATTCACTAATTGATCTGTATTTTTTCTGTATGAACTTTGCAGAGCGTGAATATATTACCAATTTAGATTATTGTTATCAGATGCTGGGTAGTGCTGAAACAGGCATTTATCTCAAAGTAATACATGAGTTATTCAGGATCTTTCAAGACAAGATACAATGTATAGATGTTTGCCCATTTAATAAAACGACATCAGTGATAGATGGCACGGTGCCACAATCAATATGCCCTCTGGTAGACCCTGTGCTACAAACCAGGAACTCAAGCAGATATTTCTTAATCAAGCTGTGGTATGCAAAAACTGTCTCACTAATATGCTCTATAGACCTGTTATGTGCTAGCTCAAGAACAGATAGATACCATATTCTGTTTTAAACGTATAGACAGTCAGATTTCAAATCTGAAAATGTTGATTTAAACATAGTGAACTTTGTTGTAAAGATGCCATGATGGTGCTGTATTTATCAAACGCAGAGTTAGCTATTGTTTATTAAATGCTAATAATAGCATGGAGGACAGCAGTGTGCTCTGAGATGTAACCCTGTGTCTTTCGAGTACTTGGGGTACAATAGAGTCCCTGCTAACACTTGTGGCAGTGAACAGGTTACGACATGGCCTGACTTGGCTGAGAACGACAGGAGATGCCGTCCTAAAAATATTGAGTGCAAAACCCCCTCATCCTGAAAATCTGATGACTCTATATGACATGATGCCATAAGTACCCTCTTACATTAAGCACCCCAAAACCATACCACTCGCAGTTATAGCAGGATCCTTCTTGTTAGAGTTGTAATCATACACCATTGTCACTCAAACAATACTTGGTGTTTTACATGTACCATTTTATGAATCCCTTTTTTTTAATAGATACATTTCATACAGATCTTTATTGAAGTTCCCACCTTCAATCCTGTGAGGATAATACTGAACTTTTCAAAATGCATATTCTTATTCAGAATCATTTTTATCAATATTCTATATAAATAAAAAAACAAGTGGCCCTTAGTTTTGGATAAAAGATAGGTTTTGTATTATTGTAGTTTGTTATGGTTTCATTGTCCTGCTTTGACAGAGTTCCATATAGTCAGAAGTTTTTTCACTATGAAAGGAGGCCAGGGAGGGAGGAAGTAGCATTCCAATGATGCGTATAGCATCTATGTGTCACAATTGAGTTGGGCCCTGCCAAAAAGGCACATTTGCCTTGATAGCGTTCATGCACACCAACCCCTCTCAGCGTTTCCCTTGCACAGAGTTCTGTTGAAGGCCTCTTCATGTGCAGAAATGTTGTGAGTTGTTTCTTGTAGAGAGAGCAAAATATTGGGCTTGTACTGTGCTTTATTGGGTTTTGTCTTAGGTGTGCCCAAAAGCAAGACTCCAGATGATTCATCTAGGATGTTGGAAAAGTGAGACTCCAAATGATCGGAGATGTTGGAAAAGTGGGACTCTAGATTATAAATCGGGGATGTTGGAAAAGCAAGACTCTAGCTAGATGATAAATCTGGGATGTTGGAAAAGTGAGACTCTAGCTAGATGATAAATCTGGGATGGTGGAACAGAAAAGAGTTGTTTGACATGCCGCGTCTTCATCAAATAAAGGCTTTGTTTAACTTTCTTGGGTACCGGATTGCTTTTTTTTTTTTTCTAACAGAGGTTTTGTCCCCTGTCTTAGGTGTGATTGGGAGGCAGTGGATCATAACTCCAGTGCACCAAGGCGTAACTAGACATCACTGGGCCTCCCCCCATTTGTCTCATCCCCACCAAGCCCTTCCATGTGTCTCATTCCCCCGGCCCCTCTATGTGTCTCAGTGCCCTCCCGCAGTCCCTTCCATGTGTCAATTTCCCCCTGTACCTTCCATGTGTCAATTTCCCCACCAGTTCCTCCATGGGTCTCAATTTCCTCTCCAGTCCCTTCCATTTGTCATATTTCCCCCCTCCCTTCCATGAGTCTCAATCCTCCCCCTTCCATGTGTCAATCCCCCCAGTCCCTTTCATGTGTTAATTCCTCCCCAAGTCCCTCCATGTGTCAATTCCACCCTCCACTGTTCCTCCTTGTGTCAATCCCCCTTTCCCCATGTCCCTCCATGTGTCTCAAATCCCTCTCCAGTCCCTTCTGTGTGTCTCAATCCCCCCCTTCCAAATGTCAATTCCCTCCCAGTTCCTTCCATTTGTTAATTCCCCCCGTGTCTCAATCCCTCCCCCAGTTCCTCCATGTGTCAATCCCCCTGTCCCTCTGTGTCAATCCCCCCTCATGCCCCTCCATGTGTCAATTCCCCCTGTCCCTCCATATGTCAATTCCCCCTCCCCTCTGTCCCTTCATGTGTCAATTCCCATGTCCCTTCATGTGCCAATTACCCCCTTCCCCTGTCCCTCCATGTATCAATACCTCTACCCCTGTCCTTCCCTATGTCAATTACCCCATCCCCATCCAAATGTCAGTCTCCCCATTCCCCATTTCTCTCCATGTGTCAACTCCCCAACCCTGTCCTTCCATGTGTCAATTACTCCTCACCCCTGTCCCTCCATGTGTCAATTCCCCCACCTCTATATCCCTCCCCATTAACCTCTGTACCTGCTCTCTCTTGTAGCGTGGCCGAGCGGAGCACGGTACCTAGTCTGACAGGAAGTACTCTCTCTACTAGGCTCGGCTACACTACTTGTTGTGACCGGTGCTGTGCACTCCCCTCCTGCCGGTCATCCGGTGGCAGCAATCATGGGCCTGGTCGCAGCTGTGACCCCTGCAACCATAGTGGTTATGCCACTGCCAGCACAGAGGATTTTATTCTCGTGGCCATGCTGGGCCCTATGTTAAACAGTGATTGGTAAAAACTATAGTAATTGAGACAATGATTGCCAATAAATATGTGCCTGTTACCTCCTTCCTGCCCTTTTACCCTTCCACAAACAAAGAAATTAATGGTATTGGGAGCTCCTATGCTACTTCTTTTGATCAAGCATATTTTAGCCACTTTGATAATGTGAATTAAAACTTCTGTGCTATTAATTTCAATTTCATCCAAACTTGACAGCTGTCGGTAGCAGGTCTGCTCAGCACTCCCATCATACTTTCCAACATTGGAAAATATGAGATCAGGCTGAGTGGGCGATCCTGATAGGGGGTGTCCTGACAATGCCCATGATGGGTCACCTGCCCAGAAAAGGGATTGGAGTTCCCACTAAAGAAGCTTGTCTGACCGCCCCCCAATCTGCAGGACCTTGCAGATAGAACTGCTAAAGCACTCTCTGCAGAATCCTAGTGATCCCTCATGTCTAATGATACTCTTGCACTGTGCTACCTGAGGATAGTTCCATGGTGCTCCTGACTGAGCTCTCCTGCCTGAGCCTTTAAAAACGGAATCTTGAGAGGACTACACCACACTTCTGAAGAAGCCTCTGGAAAGGCGAAACGCGTCAAGTGAGACTTTTTGAGCTCTTTTATATTGCTTTTTATCCTTTTATATGGTAAATAAATAGTGTATTTTAATTTTATATTTACACTTCGTTATTTTTCCACTCATCACTTCCTGGTACCATCACATCCTTAGGTGGGGATTGTACCACCAACGTTCTATATACCAGAGCAAGTCTTGCTCTGGAAAATGTGAGTACATTTATTATTTTTCTACTCCACATATATACATATTTATTTCACCATTGGAGTATTCTCTGTATTTATCTCTCTATATGACCTATATACTACACTCCATCTGAGCATCTGAGACGCCTGTTCCTGCATATATCCTTAGACAGGTAATGTTCCGTCCATGCGTTGAAACAGCTGAGCTCTGCAATAGCTCAATCAAATGTGAGTGTAATCACATTGGATCACTTATCACGCACCTATTGTACATATTGTATTGTGCTATTATTGTTCTTTCTGGGTTTTTTAGGTCAAATACGTGTATAAATCCAAAAGACTTGTGAACGTATCAAGCCTTATCAATTATCTTTGGGAGCGGTCACTTTCCTTTTTTTTTTAATTATACACAGGATACTATCTACACACACTGTGTGTGTTACACAGGAT